ATAATTACTGCTTTTGAAGCCTGTTGTTATTATTGAATATTTTAGTATAAATTGAAATAGATTTATTTTGTCCGTGGATTATATTTTAGCATATTAATAATATTTTTAAAATATTTCACTTTAACATTGTTAATATTATCAGTGATTTTTCTACTTATATAACAGACTCCGAGAAAAGGCCTTTTCCCAATTGAAATTTTCTTTAAAATCATGCAGTTTTCCCAAAAATCTGAACTTAAAGCAGCTTTTTTACTTCCCAAATCAGCATTTTTAGCAATTGTTTTTCCCAAAATCAAGAGGCTAAGGCCTCTTCCCAATATAGTGAGAAAAATCACTGATTATATTTCCTTTGGTTTATAGAGCTGACATTGATAGTGATGTTAATATTTTTCTGTTAATCAGTCATTGATACTAACATATTGTTTCCAATTATAGTACATTTTTATAGTTCCAATTAGTGCCTTTTGTAAAAAAGCAAGTCCCCGGGGTGTTAAATAGAGATGATACGGTATTTGAAAAATCAATAATTTTAATAAATTATGAAAATTCACCTGAATTACATAAAAAAAGCAGTTGGCCAAAGTATTTTTTTTTATTTTAATATTATGAAGTTATAATCATAATTAAACAAACATTCTACCTGAGATTATATTGCTCTGTCGTCCCTCTAATTCCAAAATGAAGGCAATTGTTCCACCAAACAGTGTTGAGTAATGCTGTTGGTGTCATGGCACCAAGTACACCTTTCATATACATTTGATCAACTTCTTTATCTGAGAGTGACGATGCAACTCGTGGTTTATTGCCTTTTCCCAACTTTTTTATACATTTTTGTTTGGCCTTTAAGGCATCTCTTGTCAAAGAAAATTGTGGGCCATTTCCTCTCATTATTAGAAATGGATATTTATTTCTCTGCAGTTTTCGGTCAATACTACTGATAATGTTACGTAAAGAACTCGGTTCATATTCGGTACCATCTGCTTTCTTTATAGACAAAATAAAGTTTGCTAGATATGAGTCAAGTTGGTCAATGCTAATCTCATGTATCTCTCTTTTTTCACCCTTTGTTTCCAGAAATCTCCTGAACTTATTTATGTCAGAGTTTTTCTCATGGTATTTTTGTTATCTTGCTCTTCAATGAACTTGTTAACATCATTTGAGGATAAATTTAAAAATTCTGATGTTTCAGGAGGCTGTTCAATTAATGTTGGCAATTCAAGTTGGTTGGCAGCAACAGAGATGGACAACAAAGGAGCACTCTCAGAAAGACTGTTTTCAACAAGGCTAGGTGGTGGTGTTGGTTCCATTTCATCATCAAAATCAGTAATTTCCAGACTGTATTTATTCAAGAAATCATCAGGATCAATTTCTTCAACATGTTGTGTTTTAAGCTGATCCCAAATTAAGTCAAATGTGGTTTGACTCAAATAATCAGACATTTTTGACTGAATGAACTGCTCAGATCTTGGATTTTATCAGAATAGCAGAAGACAAGCTGATAAATTCTCTCCTTATTATTATTATTTTATTTATTTTAATAAAAGGACTAAAAAAATTTTATTCTTTTTTTTATTTATTAAAAAGTGTGAAGCAATACAACAAAATAAAAATATAACAGTAACAATTTTTTTTTTGTATTTTTAATATGCTTTATTTTTATCGTATCAAGATATGTAGTATTTGTAGTATCCAATGTAAACAGTAGACCGGAAATGACCCGAAAAAAGTAGTTCCGTCAAGGTCAAAATGTGTATTGATGAGGTGTCTGATAAAGCTTGGGGTGACTGATAAAGCTAGGTTTATCGGGCATGCACTTTATCAACAGAAAATCAATGTAATGACATGATAAAATTATACATGTTTCCAAATCTGTGAGTATAATAATAATTATTGTCGATGGTATAATTTTCTTTATATTTAATATTATTTTTATTATTATCATTATTAATTTATTATTATTACTATTATTATTATAGAAACGACTAAAGCCGTCCATGTGGCAAATACGCCGAAAATAACAGGGACGGCACACTGGAGAAGTCATATGGCAAGTTTCAACCTGAACTGGAGTGAAGAAGGAAGATACACTTAGATATCATTTCTGGCTTGCACCAAAATAAAACTTATGATATAAATATACTAAGACATTTTATATACTTTATAGTTATCAGTATTTGTCCTAGATGCTAACTGCTTGCTAGATAGTCTCAAATTAAGAGTATTTTTTTCCTTATCAGATCTGAATTATCCATGCTAGAGGTGTTGGTTAACATGTCACAACAACAATTTCTTTCATATCAGACAGGATAATCTACTGTTTGCGCAGGTGCTAAAAACCTTGCCTACACCCCTGGCTTTAAAGGGAATTTCTAGCCCACGGGTAACTGTTTACAGAAAACTCTGCAGAGCATATTGCCGAAAAAAATTGCTTAAGCTAGATGTTCAGATCTGTACTGACAGCTGGTGTAAGATTGCGCAGGCTGGTCTTGATCCATGCTTGTCGCAAACCCATTATGTTGGTTTTGTCGTGACACGGCTCATTTTGTGGCAAAGTATGAGGACAATACAGCAGGATCTTAATAATGTTATGATCAAGGTGTAAGTTGGCGGACAACAACAGGAACACTGCCATGACTGCAACAATAGTGAATACCTCTATTTCTTTTTTCGTAAAAAAATTCTAATTAAAAAAATCAAACAAGGTAAAGTAGTGATTCTCTGGCACTGTAATTCTTCAAAATGGTCTCTATCAATGTGTGAAGTTTTTATCAGGGGACATCTCTGGCAGAGTGGTTATGGTTGTTGACTTCAAACCACTAGCCCCTTACCACTGTGGATACGAATCCTGACAGGGACTTTAGATTCTTTCATGTAATGAAGCTATAATAGCTAGCTTAAGGAATGTCAGTGGCTCTACTCGGGTTCCAGTCTGGACCAGAAATAATGCTAGTCGTAGTGCTTATTATGATTATGTTTCAAATAACAAATGATACATATGTACTTCAATTGTGTCAGACAAAGTGTGTCCTAACCCTAGACATAAGTGTTCAGGGTAAAACACAGCAATATCAGATGAATTTATGGTTTGTCGCAACTGTTAAGGCAGTCTGATGACAGCTACAATAGCTTCAATTAGTCATCTTTACATATTTTCAAATATGCTTTACCTGGTATACAACTATAATTGTTTCTTATGTAAAACTGAATGAAGCATAATTGTTTAATACAATAACAAGAGCTGTCACAGGAGACAGCCAAGCTCGACTAATAAAATAAGGAGGACAAAACTATGAAAGAACAAGAGCGATCAGTAATCACATGTGTCGCCTAATGATGGCCAATTTCATGTTGGGACAAATTTTGTGACAGACTGACAGACAGACGGACAGTGCACAACTAGACTTGGTACTGATCATTCCTGTAAAGTTTGGATAAAATTGCACCAGTAGTTTATGAGGAGTAGTCTGGACAAGCTTTGGCGTATCTGGCAACTCACAGAAAAAAACACCTTTTATCAAAGGGCCATAACTCGGCCAAAAATCATTCAACCAGATAACCCGTGCAATATGCGCAAGGACTTGAGCGACAGATCAATCCTGTAAAGTTTCATTGAAATTGCATTAGTGGTATAAGAGAAGTTGTCCGGACAAACTTTAAAATTAAAAATTATTAAAGGGCCATAACTCTGACAAAAATCATTGCACCTAAAAATGCTGCTAATATGCACAACTAAACTTGGTACTGATCATTCCTGTAAATTTTGAATGAAATTGCACCAGTAGTTTATGAGGAGTAGTCCGGACAAGTTTTGTGACGGACGGACAGACAGACAGACAACGGAGAAGTGATCCCTATATGTCGCCTATATGGCGACACAAAAATCAATTATGTACAATCATGTATTACTTTATAGTAAAAAAATAACATTTGCTAACTTAAATTCAAAGATCAAGGGGAATAATTCTAGAAATAGTCACGCTAGAGTTATATACAGGTATATACACAGTACATAATATAACATGCCTATAAAATATATTTTACAAGTAAAGTTAGAACAATTTTGGTAGAAGTAGAAAAAATTGTAGTGTTTTATGGCATTATCTTTACAATGTTCCATGGCTTTAATCTATACTGATATTACCTACCTTACAGATTTTGAAAGTAATATTATGTAGGTCATTTTTAATATGTTAAATGTGTTATTATTAACAGCATAACAACTAATACAGGTTGTAATAGAAGATATTGTCACAATAATTATATAATCAAATTGTTATATTAAATTTTTAATATTCAAACCCCTACAAAACATAGTTTTACCTTGACCATGAGTCATAAATGACATTGACCTTCAAGGTCAAATAATTGATTTTTGCTGATTTTTTGTTGTATTTGTCTATAACTTTGTTATTTATGAATAGATTGTCTACATATTTAGACACAACATCCTTAAGGACATTCTTATGCCAAGTTATATAACTTACATAGTTTCAGTTTAACATAGTTATGCACCCTTTTTAACTTTGAAAATATCCCAAAATATTCCAAAGTGGCCATAGCTTTGTTATTTATGAGTAACCTATTTTCATGCTTGGACACATCAGTCATCTGGAATGTTCCTTCAAGTTGACTAATATTGACTTTGATTATCAGTCATCAATGATCTTGACATTTAGGGTCAAATTATTGAATTTTGTGTATATTTTGCTGTAACTGTATAACTTCTTTATTAATGTCTTCATATTTACACACATCGTCATCAGATCTGGGGATCAGTAATTGATTAAATTACAATAACTTTCAGGTTTTATTGTAATTGATTATGAATTGATTACTCAGACCTGCCTCTGTAATCTATTATAATCAATTTATAAATCTATTATTCATCATTTAGGCCAAGACCTTGATGAAAATCAATTAACCTTGACCTGTACTTATAGCTGATCTTAACATTGAAAGTATAATTATTGAAATTTAGCCAATTTTCCTGTTTTTTTTACCTGTAACTTTGCACATGAAAATTAACCGCAAACGAAATGGACTTGAATGTGATGGTGATGGTGGTGGTGTGTTCGCTTCAAGATTTTTCTGCCTTTGTTTATGAACTCTCCAACATCTTCTTGCATTTCTACGTTCGCGGTCGGTCATTTCAGAGGCAAGTTTTATTTCACCCTTTGCTTTCCTCTTATGATACCGGGCCCTTTCCTTGCTAAGGTATTCTGCATAATTATTCTTGTGCGTTTTGCTTTTTCTTCTCCCTATACATACCTTCGTGCTCTTTCAGCACCACTGAGGGGCATGTCTTTGTAATAGCTTAATCTTTTTTCTATGGACTAGTAAAGTTTCTTTAGCCTTTGTAAGCTCCTCGTAAGTGTCACATACAACACGTAACCACTCCTCTCTCTCTGGCTGAGTTGGTTCGTAGTTCAAGTAATCTAACAGTTCCAAGTGAATTTTGTTAACTGTCTCTTCTTACAAGTTTGTGTCATGTATAAGCTCTTTCAGTGACTCTTGTGTATCTGTAAAAATAAAGTAATTTAATTGTTGCGATTGATTTTGGTTATTACTAATATGTCCAAAAATGTCTTTAGAGCTCTTGTTATAATTAGATATTTTTTATTTATTAATCATTATAAGGGCAATTAACTTTTCATCAAGGACATAATTAAGATTTACAACCCTATTACAGTGATTGCATACTCTTGTCAGAAGGAACGGTTATTACTTCTAAATTTCATGACTATATTTTCATAACGTACTCGCGATGTTTGCGTCTCTTTTCCTCGTAAAAGCGGGTGTACCACAAATTCGTAATATCCGCTTGAAAAATGAAACATGATGCCTCAGAAATCATTTCTTTTATCAAAATCTGTTTACTTTTGGTACCTTGTAACAATTTCAATAAAATACTAATTTGCCATAAAAATGATTTATTTCTGCTTCTTTTGCTTTGTTGACAAGTTGGTATAACTATAGTGAATTAGTATTTTGTATGGAATTCAAAAAACTACTTTGTTTACTTACATTTTGCTACCTTTGCAACACATAACTGCACAACATATAATTAACATTTCTAAATAATTAAATAAGTATATTGTGCCTTTAAGTATAAGATCATAAGTTTATTAAGCATTAAGTTTGTAGACTCAATCAAACCGACTCCATGTTATTTTGTTGGAATCATATTTTAAAAAATATTTGTGTAAATTGTTTTAACATTACAAATATATTCACTCTAAATAAATGTTATTGTTTCGCGTAAATACACTAGGGTAATAGATACGCCGTGTTCTTCTATAATTGATACCTAAAATGAGTATTTCAATATAATGTACAAAAAATTGCCTTTATAGTAACTTCACACAATATTTGCGTATGTCATAATCTTATAGTAGTATCTGCGCAAACCGGTGTTTGGGTGCACTACCCGGTATCAGCGAGTGTTTTTCTAAATATTCATCAGATACAGAATATGAGAATGTTTCATTCAGTCTATCATTTATTTTTTTTACTATATTTACAATATGATGTAAAGGACAGAACCATCATGTACTGGCAGTGTATCACCTTGAGCTATTGTGTAACAACCGGTGCTGGGTACTTAACAGGTTAATACTATTTACTTGTACTGTCTAGAAAAGGCCCATCTTGACGAAGCATTCGATAATATATTGCTCAATTCTTATTTTCTCGATTTTGGTTTGTTTGGTTTTACGGCGCACAAACACAGTATAGGACATATAGTGCCGAAACAGGAAAGATGACTTTGGCTTACATCGGGTATTACAAATTCAAAGTTACATCAGGAGTCGAAACTACCTCACCTGCTTGAGCCAAAGATGCATAGTCGACTTCCCGGTGATTTTCTTTGTTTTATTTTCCAATTCTAAAAGCCTAATATTTTACTATTTCATGTTTTGTTACTTTCATGAATCAATATAATTCGAATTAATATATTTTCTCACTGAATTTATGACCGCGGGCTATAACATAGTGTAAAGAAAATAACAATGACCATTTAGTTTTGTGAATAACGCTCCCCTTTGTTAATCCCAAAGATTCGAGTTTCTTGCAACTGTATAACAGTTTATATTTGATACTACCAGTATAAGTCGAACACGATAACGTTTACATTATTCGGTCGTATAATTATGATATAATGGGTTGTGTAAGTAATTCAATTATTACATTTTGCAATTTTACTACAATATATAAAAGAGTAAAAGTGAACATGAGAGTAGAGTCGATTTCCGACAGGGACTTTGGTTTATTCCATGTGCGGAAGTAATCCAACTATTCAGCATGAGCATGACATAATGCACTGAATGAACTGAGGAGGTCTTCCTCCATTAGTGCAGCTGGAGAGTATTATGTAATTTCTCAGGCTTTGACAGATCGATAAATCATGCAATTTGCAAGTTAAATTTTTTTTGGACTAATCAACTATTGCGACAAACGGAATCACCGGATTGTAATTATTGCATTGGTTGACAAGTTCCCTTATTACTTGAAGGCGAATATATTTTAGTGGCTTCTGACACAAAACTTGACCTGTTACATTATTTTACTGATTACCCACCGTAAATAATTCAATAATGTGAATTGTATTCTTTCTAACCATACAATATTAGATCTAATCGATTTGCAATATGAACAAATGTCAACAATCTCAAGATCGACAAAAAAATGAGAAAAAGGAAATAAAAACCACAACAAAAACAACAACAAACAAAAACTTTATAAAAGACAACAAGGCAGTCTGAAGGACAGCTAAATTGCCTTCCGCAGTGAACTTTTTACAGCCACGACCTTGATGTTATGCCTAGCATATCATAAGCACAAAGTCTCATGATTGGAATTATTTGTGCCATGTTATTTGACATCTTTCATAAAGTAAAAAAAAATGTGGAGAACATATAACCTTGACCTTGCGGGTAGCAACCTAGATGTTGAATGTCATGGTGACGATCATTTGTGCCAAGTAATTTTAAAATCTTTGAATTGTCAAGAAGTTTAAGAGCGGACATGAAAAATAGATCTTTTTACAGTGGACCTTTAAGTAGGACCCTGACCTTCAGAATTGTGCTTAGCCAATGGTGTCATAATGGTGATCATTTCTTCGAAGTTAACAAGAGGGCAATGATGACCCTGAAATTGCTCACCTGTATAATTATAGGCCCTTGGGCCAAGAACCTTTTTAAACCAGGGGCTTTTATTTGAACAAATTTGGAAGACGCTCATTAGAAGATGTTTCATGATATATATCTAAGCTGTAACTCTTTGGGGTTTTTTTAGAAGATTTTTTAAGTTTTGACTATATACATATAGGGAAATCAATGACCCTTGGGGCGAGGCTAATTTTAACCCAAGGGCCCTTATTTGAACAAACTTGGAAGACACTCATTAGATGATGTTTCATGTTAATATTTGAGCTTTAGCTCTTTGGGGTTTCTAAACGAGGATCTTTTAAGTTTTTACTATATACTTAAAGGGTCAAACTATGAGCCCCTGGGGCGGGGCAAATTTTTTTATCCAAGGGCTTTTATTTGGACAAACTTGGTAGACATTGACTAGATGATGTATCATACCAAATATTTAAGCTCTAGCTCTTTCGATTTTCTAAAAGAAGATATTTAGGTTTTTTCTTTCGGTTGCCATGGCAACCAGTGTTCGGCTTTGAATTAAATTCTTTGAACATTTTTTAAAGTTGACTTTATCAAAATTGACTACCAAAGTAACATTCCTGTGAAGTTTGGATGAAATTAGCTGAGCGGTTTATGAGGAGATGTTAGACTTTTTATTATGAAATGAAGAATATTTAACATTTGACCTTTAAGTGTGACCTTGACCTTGGGGTAGCAACCCATTTATTGCGTTCTGCACATCTCATTATGGTGATAAGTTGTGCCAAGCTATTTTAAAGAAAATTCAGTAGTTTAAAAGTTATGCAGCGAACACGAAATGTAGACTTTTATTATGAAATGAAGAGCTTTTAAAATTTGACCTTTAAGAGTGACCTTGACCTTGGGGGTAGCAACCCAATTATTGCGCTCTGCACATTGTTTTACTATGGTTATTAATTGTGCCAACTTATTTCAAAAGTTTTTCAGTGGTTTAAAAGTTATGGAGCGGAAACGAAAGTGTTACGGACGGACAGACGGATGTTCCTACTGAGTTGACATTATGTTTTTTTTCTTTGATCTCTAAAACCCCATAAGCAACGTATTTGCACCCTATAAGCAATCTTTTTCCCCATAAGTACCGTCTGTACGGAATGAACATGGATGTTAACCCAATAACGTCATTTGAGGTCGTACGGACGGACAGACGGAGGCCATTCTTATGATCTTCTTTCAGCAATGCGGACGGTGATTAAAACAGAATAATTGTATGGCATTTCATTTGTCTTCGCATTCATCACCATGATAAATCACGGTTTCCGATAATAACCCAATTAGAAAAAACGAACCATTTTATCATTATTAATTGATTATCATCAAAGTCGAATAATTTACGGTATCAAAAGAAACTGGCAGTAGAATTTGACCATATCCCTCTATCAATTAGCAAAAGTTTTGACCAATTCAACTGACATGAGTAATCTGAAGTGAATTGACCGATGGAAGTGATTGATATATTCAATTGAAATTTGCAAATAAGTTATTGAAATGGATTCGTATTATCAATTACTGGTATTGTAAATAGGCAGACAATAAAATCGCTAACTTATCAAAAGCATTAATATAAACGTTTTTCATCTCAAAGTATCTAAAAAAGAGACAATAAGACCAGATTTTTGTACTATTGTTGAGATGAATACATTTGTCATATTTTCCGTTATTTAACATTATGAAAACAATGATTAGCTATCGAACTATGCGAGTCTATACATCAAATACAGTTGTGCAGTCATTTGCATAATAACTGTGCAGTCATTATTGATTTACTTAATATCAATATTACTTTAATGCCTAGAAATATGTGTACAACATGGAAAGTTCGTATTACGCCTTCATCAGGGGTGTATAACATGTATAATGTGCTCACAATAGAGCACACAATCTCTATGTGTACACCGTTTAGTATCAAACATTGATTGAACGGAAAAACCGCCGCTAGAAAGGTGATAAAATTGCATTGATTATGAAAAGACCGTTATTGAATAGGCATGGTTGTCATACTTACAAAAGAGTATATAGCCTGCGGACAATGTGGTGTAAAGAAGATTAAATATCGACTCTTAAGGAATTAAAAAATAATAAGAAAATCAAAACTACATGTATAAAGTCGTTTTGATTTTATTTACTAAAAGTATAATGCCAGAAATTGCATGTTTCATCAAGTAGGATATTTTATGTAGAAATTACATGCTTTCATCACAAATTACAATAGATAAGATGTTCCCAGGCCCGGGAAAGAGTGACATTTCTCCACCGCCTGATTAAATCAAGGCTGAAAGCTCTGTTGTATTTTCTGATCTTTGCAATCTAAATCGTAATGTACAGTACATCTTAACTATTTTCCTGTATAAGTTTATTTTTATATACTATAAATTATTTCATCTTAACAGGGTACCGGGATGCAGCGACTGCGTTTAGATTTTTTACTTTAACAGTTTGAGTTTGATACATACGGAATGCATGACTAGAGTTGCATCAAAAAAATAATTATGTTCATTTTTTATGACAGCCACACATTATCATTGCATATCGTGTCTACTTTCTTAAAAAGACACTTTAAAAAATAGTTGCTTCGACTGGGATTTGAACCCCTGACCTCTCACACCCTAAACGAGCGCATTACCCCTGTACCATGGGGAAGTTAAAATTCATAGCCCCTATATTTGAGGAGAATGTATTTGTAAGGTACATGATAGCTTAGGGATGGCACTGAATATGGATGTTTATTTTCTCCCAATTCATTGGAATTTTGTCGATGTTCTTCTATCTTTCTTGGGATAAATAAATTCTCTGTAACATTTAAACACTGTTAATTCCAGTAGTAAATTGCAAGTTTATTTTGGTTGTAACAAAGTTACAATAACAAAATAATAAATTGTCAACACATGAGCACAATTGTATTTTAATATTCAGCAACAGATTCAATACGATAATATAAATAAGTAAATTTTTGTAGTAGAAAACATCAAGAATTTTCAAGTCCTATTTATGTTAAAACTGTTTGATTTCCTATAATTTAATGTACCATAGTGTCTAACGCGTGTACACGAAAAATAGCGTACCAGTGAACCGTGACTGAATTCAACAAGCAGTTAAATAATTTATTTCAAAAAGTAAAGTGTTAATAATAGCTCAGAACTGTTTAATCTGAATAAATAAATCGTTATTTATCATTAATAGTTTAATTACTTTAATACGTAAAGTTGCAGTCGGCACTTATTTTTTTCCGCTCAAATTTGTAATTCAACGAAACCGGGTTTTGCTTCTGAAGTTCTGGTCAAGACTGAGTTGTTCAACCAAAAGTCCGGGCCCTTTTATACCCAGAACAAATCCGAACCAAAATAAAGTGGTTGAAGTGGTTGGTTTACCAAAGTGGTTGTGGTAGAGGCCAAAAAATGGTTGGTACGACCAAGAAATATTTGTTGATTTACCAAAACGGTTAGAAATTTAAACATAGACTCTTAGACCTATGAAATAATAAAAATGGACATAGAACTTTTTGGTCACATTATTTTAAACAAGTTATACCTTTACAACGTAGAAAATACACCAAAAGTCAAATCGCAGAATTTCGACAATAACTTAGCTGTAGCCGGTCGTCCCAAGTAACATACCGGAAACAGTTCAAATATGGCATCTTGTAGTTAAAGTGGAAGCACGTTTTTCTAAGAAAACGGATCATAACTACAAAAATACATGGAATTAGACATTGTTACTTGACAAAACAGTGACTTAAATAATTCATAAACAATAACAATATGATTTAAAATCACAGGTAACGAGTGTAAGTGACAATTCCTCCTTAGAAGTTAGATTGAGCTGCACATTGTGAAAATTGAGGATAAACAAGGAAAACATGTTGGATAAAATAGGATAGATTAAATTTGGCTAATTACCAGTATATATGGGTTGCTGTTTTGATTTCTAGTACAACACAACTCATTATAAGTTTTATAGCAAGTAAATGTCAACATGTCCTCATTATTGAAGATAAGAAGAAAAGTAATGTCTCAAGTTCAAGTCAATTAAGATAAGGAGTTGAGTTCATGTAGTTCAGTTATGTTACAGTTATAGTTGTAAATTTCAGATCACTACAATATACTATAAAAAGAAATAATTCATTTGCGTTTCTGAAATGATCATCGTTTTTAGGAACTTTGTTGAGGGGAAATTAGAACTTTCCTTTTTGCTTTGGATATTTGGGTCTTGTAACATCTTTTCAGAATATATGTATAACGTAGACTGCCTCACTTCTTAACTTTTCAACCACCGTTTATGTAACTGAACTGAAACGAAAACATTCAGTGAACATCATTTTAAGAAAAAACTTCTGGACATGGATAAATCTTTCAAAGCAATCAATAACATCATATGTAAATTGCAATTTGTAAACTCGGTTTGATTGAGTCTATTAATGAGAAATAATGTAAAAATCAAAATTTCTTAAGCACCCTATCACCGTCTCAAGATGTAATAAATTTTTAACAATAACGTATTGGAATAAATGTTCACAAAGGACCAGAAACAAATAGAACATCACTGAAGTAAAGTACTCGGCATGTTTGTAAAGCAGCCACTTGGCCACATTTGACATAAAACTTATTTACACAATTTACTAATGAACAAAGTCCTTTCTATGTTTTATGTTAAATTATTATACCAACGCGTTGATGTTGTTTCAGTACTGGTTGAAATATTCTTCGTTACTGCAGCGGTAAAACATGTTTGAAGCCTTACTTATCAGACATATTACCAATGGTTACCTTTATATACAGATTCTGATTTTTTATTGTATGACATAGCACCATAAAGTATCTTCCAACATTTCATTCAGTAATTAATTGGTAATTGAAGCAATATCTTCCTGTAAGCGAGGAAACATTTAATTAATTGCTATTTGATTTATTGACTTTTCTAATGATAAATTTTAAATGCATATATGGAGAGCTTAAAATGGTCATTAACTTTAATTTCGTGATAGTTCTACATCAAAGACGCATCCAAGAAAGTACTACAGGTAATAATTACGCAAAAGCAAAATGTGATGAATAAAATGCATCTTTACTTAATAAAATAGAGAAAAACAGAATCCGTAAAGAAAGCCCAACATGGCCAAATTGAAAATGTTGCAGGCTCAGTTTGATTGAGCCTGTTCATGGACGGTACTGAAAAGTGCAAGTTACAGTCCACGGCCACAAGCTCTTACTTAAGCAGAATTCAACATTTAACACGAAAATGGTAAACATTTGAATTTGAAAACATCAGCAGATGTGTTCTTACGGTGGTTATCATGGAACCTTCAGTAGTGCCATTCAATGGAATTTTGAAAGGGGATCTGAGGTAATGAAGCCTGCATATCACGGACAAGACGTCAAAAGATAAATCTAAAAAGCAGGCAACATATCATAAGGGTGATTTTACAATATTCAAGTTGGAATACTGGAACCGACCAAGTTGAAAAGGGCCAAAAAAGATGAAACAACATGTATACACAACAACAATGTCGTGCTGAACGATCGTCAAGGATGGAAAATAAGTGTAACTGATGTATCACCATTTGACATTTAGTCGATCTATAATAATGTTTTTGTAAAGTTAGTTTTGGCAACAAGGAGCACAATATGTGTTCTCCATTTATTATTTTTCTTTTATGATCTATGTTGGCTTTCTTGTTGCTTGGTCATATGGGGGTTGCGTTCATTGAACGCCGCCTTTCCTTGTTGATCTTGTTTATCATATTTTAAAAGTTTTATTATATATTTGCGCATTTCTAAACTTCTAAAGCTGATTTCAAAGGAATATTTATGTGTCTAAGTCATAATTTTATTCGATTTATTTCAACTGAAATCAAAATTAATGAGAGTGGTATTTGAAAGTGCATAAATATATCATTTTTGCATTAAGTAAATTGACATTTATTTATAAATATTAGGTCGAGAACTCTTGTTACTTCGTTATTTGTATTTCAGATGACTTCAAAGTCATGATTTTCATTCAATCTAAATACAACCTGCTAATAAATGATTTAACCCATTACTTCATTAGCATTTTGTGAAAAATGGCTGTTTTCATTGAAAAGTATCCCGTCACAAGTTCAATTTGCTATAATACTATAAAAACTGCTTCAACACTAATCAAACTTGGCACAAATGTTGACTGGACCATTGCCCTTGAAACAACATGCTCAGACTTAAATTTTCTGTTACCATGGCAACGAGGGGACATCTCAAAATTGCCAAAAATTAACTATTTTGCGTTGATTTTTTTCATCAAAATTGATTTCAAAGTGCTGCAACGTCTCAATGGATTGAGATAGAGTCAAATGCTTTTCAGCGTTGGTTACACGTAACCTTATGATCAATCTGGGCACATCCCCCTTCTGGCAACCCCCTGATGTATTTTTTGGTTGGGGGCCGCGCCGAAAAAGTGGTCACTTTTTTAACAACATTTCTCAAACAAAAACAAGTGTTGGGGGCCTAAATAAGGCATTTTTTCACCATTAGAGACAACAAAAAAGGGGATGAAAAAGGCATTAAAAGGCGTGTATCACGCGTAATGGGTTAAGCGCAATATTAATATATTGGTATTTTGTAGAACATGACATAACAATATTGCCTGCAATAGTGATTTACTAGTATATGTATCCATGAATTCAATAAAATGTATAATTTGAGTGCTATATTGTTGCATTTTCAAGGCATATAACACGTTACATGTAACGCAGTAATAAAACATCTTAAAATTGCTGGTTGTTCTGTTAGATGTTTGAAAAATTTCTCAAGACCTTTTTTCCAACAATAGTATCTCAGATTTAAAAAAAGGTCTCCTACCGATGCATAATACATTGTATATTAAATTCTATCACTTTCGGAAATTTGCCTATATAGACAAAGAAGGCCGGAAGCGTACATTATTCTACAACAATGCACTCGACGTTCTTATTATCTCCCTGTGTATTTTCACATTGAGGGCGCCATTTTGTTTAAAAAATCTGATAAATAAAAACAATTTTTTGTCGAACTTTTGTTGTGAAAACTATCTAGAATGAAAGAAAATGGTCTTACTAAGAAAATGAATCCGAACACCAATATATCTTATTCAGTCGTTAACGCTGTACAGACGTTTAAAGTGTTGTTTACGTGACGTCACAATGTAGCGCCAAACAGCACGTGCAAAACAATCAAATCAAGTACGCTATTTTGATATCGCAAACGACTTAAGTTTTCAATTTATTTCACTTTTAACAATTTGTAGTTCGCTTGAAAAATTATAGAGTGAAATAAATTAAACAAACAAAGTTTTATCAACGTTTACAAAATTCTTTAGATTCAAAATGTTTCTACACACGGTAGATTTAACGACATTTTATTCAACCCACTGGAACAGCCTTTTAAGAACGTTTCTATTGGAAATTCCGGGGCGAAAACAATAGAAAACTCCGGGGCGAAAACAAATTTAACCACCAAACATAAAGTCCAACTTTATAATAATAATTATATTTTTTCTTGACGTGTTAGAATGGAAATAGATACTAATTCTTCGTGCATTATTGTATAATAATGCACGATTTTCGTTCAAATGCTTTGTAATTAATCACTCAGGCCTACGGCCTTCGTGATTATATTACTACGTATTTGAACTCAAACCGTGCATTATTCTACAACAATGCACTCAGAATTGATATCTATTTCCTAAATAATGCGCGGTTTTCGTTCAAATGCTTTGTAATTAATCACTCAGGCATATCGGCCTTCGTGATTATATTACTACGCATTTGAACTCAAACCGTGCATTATTCTACAACAATGCACTCGGAATTGATATCTATTTCCTAAATAGAGGATATTAAATGAGTGTAAGTTCAATACTGAATTTATTGCACGAATTGAATAAAATTATATTATGCGAGCCTCTGGCTATAACGCTAACATTTAGCGCGTCTTTACTCTTTGTTTGTATAACGCTAATGACGTCACGTCAAAATATATGCACGGCCGTGCAATACCATATTTACGGAGTCGCAAAATCGGCACGGGTGTGTGGTAAATAAAATATATGTACAGTGTAAACTTAAATGGGAACATAGACGCAATACATACTTAATTTGAAGAAATTAACATAATGTTTTCACTTATATTTGACACTACCAAAACACGCATTTACAATCATTTCAATACAGAATTGTACACAGAATAGTTGGCGCAAACAGACATTTTTATAAGATACAATACAAAGATAATCCAAACTGCAGTTTTTGCAACAATAATGCTGAACGTTTACAACATCTCTTTTGCGACTGTGGACTGTTTTGATATAATTCATGGTCTTTTTGAAAATACACATTTGCATTTGACAAGAATACATTTTTAGGCTTACAAAATGCAGATAATTCAACAACGTTTTGCTGTTATTTGTAAAGAAGTACATATGATATTGTAAAATGAACTTAAAAAAGAGCGTCCATAGAGGTTTCTCAGCTTTACAAAAAGAAAATTACAAGGTAGATATTTTTGACAAACATTGGGAAAGTTTATAATTTATTATAATTTCTTCATTTCATGAAAATATGTGAGTGCGGACATTGTTTTGTTTCACCATAATTGTTACATCCTGTAGACAATTTTACGGAATACACCCTTTGATATATTATATCATATAAAGTATATGTGTACATATGGCCCTTTTTCTACGCGTACATGTAGGATCTAGGTCTGCATCATTTGACAAGGACGTTTTATCATAAATCTAACGAATCGAAGAAATTAATGTTAGCCTACTTAACGTTAAAAAATGAATATATCAAAAATAAAATAACAAATACAAAAGATATTTCTAAGCTTTTATGTTTCTCCCTAGTCAGCTGAAACTAGAGCACCACTGAACATCGATGTCTGATTGTGATCCACGTATTCCCAACCGCCGCACTAGATATCTATGACGTCACCAGTGACGCAATGTACGAAGGTTGACGCAGACGCCGACTTCCAGTCTGTGTTTGCTGTTGTCAATGCATAAACAAGTTGGCGTGTTCACGGAGAAATAAACCCGCATTGTCGTGGATGTAACTTAAATAATAAATATCATTTAATTTTACCAATTAAATACGGTGCTTTATCAGTTAAATATATTTGATTTACTTGTATATTTCATATTTGTTAAAAAATAAATATGAAATATAAATAATATGAAAAAGGCAAAGCCTCAAAGCGAGCTCGATGTACTACAGATTTTTCAAACAAAATGGCGCCTTCAATGTGAAAATACACGGGGAGATAATAAGTACGGCGAGTACATTGTCGTAGAATAATGCACGCTTCGGGCCTTCTTTGTTTATATAGAGAAATTTCCGATAGTGTTAAAATGTTTTGTTTCTTCAAAAAAAAGAGGGAAAAGTTGGTTAAAATAATCGTTCAATTTTCATTTTACATTTTCCGTTTTAAAACTGTCATTCGATATTTTATACAGCATCCGTTATTCTGGTTCCCTGTCCAATTATGGTTCCCATCCACATGCGCGGGTGACCAGTCTACACATCCGTTTTCAGTCAAACTTCCTCAGTTTTTATCGTTATCTTTAAATTCGAAAAGTTGCGATGTGTCCAATTCGGTACTTCGGACAAAAGTTTTCAAAACCATCTCTTAGCAGGTACTCGCTTTACCGTAAAGCTCGCCTTGCGAGCAGGCCCTTCGGGCCAGCTCGTCGAGCTCGCTATAAAAGTGGGCAGAGTCAAACTTATATTCATTTCAAGGGACTTCTTTCGCCATTTTGTTTGAAACAAAAGATAAATAAAAAAACATTTTTTTGTTGAATTTTGTCTAGAATGGTAGAAAATGGTCTAACAAAGAAAATAAATCCGAACACCAATATCTGAAATTCAGTTATTACCGCTATACAGACGTTTAAAGAGTTGTTATGTACAGTGAAGCGCCAAACAGCGCATGCACAATATATTACTGCGCGTTGTACAGAGTGAGACAGAAAAAAGGATAGGAGCACCTCACTAAATACCGTATTCCGGTATATACCGGACAAGGCGCTTGAATGATAAAATGCTAAAATCTTGCCTTTTTACCAAACGAAATGAACTTTTAAAGGTCTAATTCATCTTTTCACACCGATTTATGTATGATAAAGAATGAAAAATGTAAAAATCGGCGAAAAAAACAATATTTGTCTACTTTGTGATTATGATTTCTGCAAGCGTCTAGAGGTACTGCTCCAATCCTGTATTGAGTTAAATCCCTGTACAACTGCAGATGCGTAGCAAGCAAGGGGATTCGTTACCATTTTTCTTTGATTATGAAGTTATTTTTTCGTTCTTCATGAAATATGGTAGATATATACATTTTTACTCAGCATGATAAAATACCACAAGCATATTTTATCATGTTTTGTGAAAACATATTCCATATTCCACTCAAACGAAAAAATATCTTCTTTATATATTTATGTTTAGCTATGTACTTCTATGGTATCTGACACTTTTGCCCTTTTGGTAAAACTATAGTCACCACGTTTTCTGGAGGAAGTTCAAGCTCTTTGATGTAATGGTACATAGATAGATCTACTTAATATTTTTACCATCTGCAGAAATAATGTGAATTATGAAAAAATGAAGCAAACTTGAAAATCAAAAGCCAAAATTCCTACCTGGTGCCGAATTGGCATATTCAATGTGATAGAGACTGTCGACTGCTGTCAGTCAATAATTACCTGGACATACTGTAGAATTACAAGAGGCATATTCCATATTGTTTCCTGCACACTGTCTACCCAGCAACGATGGTTTTGTGTTACTGCACGTGCGCTGTCTAGACTTTAGACCGCCATTACAAGTAACCGTGCATGTGCCCCAAGTAGACCACGAAGACCAACCGCCATCTGCAAAAACACGTGTGCATACGTCTGTATTTTGTCAAGAAACAATATTATTATAAATAAAAATAATCTGTTTTATCACATAAACCGCGGCGCAGGAGTGTAATAAAGCCATTTAATAAAAAACGATATTACACTTGTGACGTGACGTCATTTGCGCTGTATAGAAACATAGCGTTAAAGCGCTACACTATGGGCGCGTCATTGAAACAAAATACTCATTTCAACAGTTTACTGTTCTTTTTTTATATATATTTGAGATAAATAGAATATTGCATTCGTGTAGATTCAATACTAAATTTATTGAACTCGTTGAATAAAACAATATTATGCTTACCAGTGGCTCGCAGAATATAATTTTATTTAACTCGTTCAATAAATTTAGTATTAAACTACACTCATTCAATATCCTCTATATTATGCTCGCCAGATGCTTGCATAATATTTTTTATTCAACATTACATGTCACACATTTGATAAACGTCTTGATGTCATCAAATCTAAGTCAAGCTACGTCAATTAACTTTACAATAAAAATAATACAGGACAGTTAAGATGATAGTGGAATTTGTCATTCCTAGAACAGCTATATCTATTAAGGTCTTTATTATTAATTGTGAATTAGTAGAACCTAATGCATCAATTCTCAAAGAATGCCATCTGTGATATTCTGAATAAACTAATGTTTGTCTGTTGCAACAAAAATTGAAATATCTGCTCGAAGGAAATAAATGCGCGTTAAAAATCAACAAACATCTACGTTGGCTATCAAAAATGCCGTTAGTACACTGAATTCAAAATCTTCAAATCAATCCATTTTTACATTTCAAACGTTAGTTTACACTTATTCTAAAATGATTCTTAAATATAAGGAGGCAAAAATCGATTGGAAAATACATTACTGTAACAGTAAATAACGGATTTGAAATAGATTATACCCTAATCTCTGGTTTATTGTCCAAATTCGGTTCCCTGCGTAAGATATAGACTGGCTCATTGACACGTTATTTATTAGGGAAATAAAGAAGATAGAAATAAAAAGAACACGATATTCAAACATGGCGCTATCACTTAAGTTTAAAGTTTATTTTAATTCCTTATAGCTCGGTGACATGTTGAACACCAGAATAACTATTGTTATCAGTTTTATTATCTGTAAAAAGTGTAATTTTGTTAAAAAAAAATATCAAAAAATATATTAAATAAAAAAGCAAGACTAAAATTTTCCCAATTGCTGAATATCTGAACGCGGCGTTTAACAAAAACTTATTACCAGTTAATGGGAGATAAGTAGTACTTATTCTGAATACGGAGGCACGTAGGAGTTACGCGCCCTGGATGTATCAGAAATATTCCCGATTCATATGTATATTATTCTATGTATGTAGACTAACTAAGAAATGTTATAATTATACCTTAACTGAATCATTGAAATGTAGCATGTCTATATGACAAAATGGCAGTCTACAAAAATAAACCTTCATGTATTAATTAAGCAAGACTGGTGTAATCTCCTTAAATAACCTGCACGTCTTTCACGTCAATTTTTATTGAGCAACCGTGACTTTTACAAATTTGTATGTAAACGGCTGCTGTAACTCAACTGTAAAGACTCATTTTTTGTTTCAAAGAAATTAAATGATTGCGTAGTTTTTAAAATGGTTATATAAACACGTTTAACATGTTATTTGGCCGTGTGTAAACGGTTGTTTTCTAAATAACTAATGACTTACGACCCGGGTTATATACGTTTCTACAATGGTTTGTACTGTTATATATCCTGTGATTTTTTTTTTAATTATTAGACTTACTACATCCAAATTTGACTATTTTCCCCTGTCAAATATTTAAAAACTATAATTACCCATGCATGGCATGCCGTAACAAATTTTGTCTTCAACAGATTCACCGAAACAATGATCACCTCCATGGCTAGGATACGGATTCGAACACGTACGATCCCGACGCTGAAGACCAACACCACACGTCTTGCTGCATGCAGTCCAAGGTGCCCAAACACTCCAGCCCCCTGACACTTTATAAACCAAAATATTTACTTACGAAACTTTATTTTTGCTATGGAATATAATCTTAAATATAAATGTACATTTGAAGTATAATGAAGGAAAAAGAACACAAATCAATTTCTAAATATATGTATTATTATGTTGTTAAGTATCATACTATTATCTATTTTCAGTTCATTTAGTTACATTAGAGGATGTTTTCAAATGTGACGTCATTATTTGTAAAAATACCAAATGGCCGCTGGAAAACATGTTCACTTTGTTTCGTAAAGATTAATAGTTCAAAGGAAAGTAAGAAAAAGATTAGTTAGGACATAGTTACACAATAACTAATTGACAAATTGAAACGTGTATACGAGTTTATTTTTCTTGCATATCAGGCAGGATTATCTACCGTTTACACCGGAGCTAGAAAACTCTTTCTCACTAACCAGATAGAAAAATCCTTAAATGTTACTAAAAATAGCGGTGTTGGAAAATCTTATCTCACATGGGCTTATCTCACACTCAACGTGCAGCACTTCTAAATAATACGCGATTCACTCCTATTTTAATAAAAATGAAACGTCAAAAGGTCAAAATGTATTAAATATTTGTGAGCTAATCTATTAAATTGTCTACGGAATCAAAATAGATTGATATTAACTTTCACACTGCAATGAGTCCTACTCTACCTAGATCCGCCCTTTTCAATAACGATCTGTTACTAAAAATAGCACACTTTAAAATATCGAAACATTCTTCGTAAAATCGGATATTATGACACTTTGCCTGAAAAACATTCATGTTTTTTGTTATGATAACGATGCTTCTTGATGACGAATCTCATTTTGATATATTTTAATTGAATATTCGGCCAAAATAACCGAAAAAGTAGAAAAATCTTTGCAAACGGTAAACGCTTTTTTGTCAACCATTGAAGTATGGACTGAAGTCCTTATAAACACTAATATTATGGCACTTTCCGTTTATAATATCGATGTGTTTTATCTTGATAACCTTGCTTTTTGATGAGGGATCTTATATGAATTCATTCTCATTAAATTTTTCACAAATAAACTTGGTCAGAAGAATTTTTTGCGGACGTACATAATGCTTTTTAATCCTAAGCCCCGCCCCCTTTTCAAAACTAGGTACGTTGTAATGCGCGTAGCAAGTAGATTCACTGATATTTTGTGTGTCCAGGTGAGTGAGAGAAATAATCAACCATTGGGTTAGCTAGAGGATAGGGAAACCCCAACCCTCGGGCAATCGGTTCCATCGGAAACTCGCCAAGGCTCGTTCCCGATGGAACCGATCACCCTCGGGTTGGGATTTCCCCAGCCTCTGTCAAACCCAATGATAGATTCTATTAATCTTTCACCCCCATGTAAGACAAGACGCGTGCTTTAAATGACGTCTCTGACGCGCGCCTTTTATGATGAACTGCGTTCTTAGGATGACGTCATTTTTCCGTTATGAATGAAATTGTAAGTTCATACGCTACTATAAGAAAAAAGTGCGTAATGAGAATATCAGTTTTCACAATTTCTGTGCCGAAAATAATTGACATGTAATATGCAAGAAAAAGAATCAAACACCGGCTGTCGGTACAGACGGGAATATCTAGCTCTCGGGTAACTGTTTAGCGGAAACTAGATATTACGGTCTGTACCGGCAGCCGGTGTAAGATTCTTATAATATACAAACAGCAGAGTGAATTTAAATTACTACTTTCATATACTTGGTTCCTGGAACCATACATAACAGGATAACATGTATTCATGGAACAATTCTTACACTCGATTCCAATACAATACAACCAAGACCTCCATAAACACGATATGGAGGATATTCAAGTTTTTTCTATAAATACATGATTTATTTTCATCGAGTGGTATGAAAATAAATATTTCATGGGTGGCGGTAGCCACGAGTGAAATATGGTAGTTTTCATCCCACAAGATGAAAATAAATCATGTATTTATAGAAAAAACTTGAATTAACTGTTTATTATAATTATATATTTCTCTTTTTTTTTTGCTATAAAATTTGAAAGACTTTCCCTTTAATTTTGTGTAATGGAAGAATTTAAAAGAAAGTAGTCCGGCAAGACACCAGTGAAAATACGGAAAATATGTTTCACTGTAGTGAAAAATGAATTTTTACACTGAAAATACGGAAAATGAAAATACGCATTTTATTTCATCAATATTTCTCAATATTTCATTTATAAGTATATAATAAATAGAGGATATTTGTTTAGTTCAGTGTAAGATCGGAATATATTTCACCGAGTGAGCACCAAAAGGTATATTTCACGAGTGGCGCAGCCACGAGTGAAATATGAACTTTTGGTGTTCACAAGGTGAAATATATTTCGATCTTACACTGAACTAAACAAATTTTCTTTTTATTATATGCAAAGAAACGTTTTAAAAAGACATTAAACCTAAAACTGAATGAAAAGCGCACCAAATAATAATACAACGTGACGTCATTAAGTTGGTACCCAGTTCTGTGCACGCTGGTATTTCACTGAAACAACGTAAGGGGCTTAAATTCAAAACAGTGAAATTATATGTTGTCGCTCATTTATAAATTTTCGTTTTAAAATTTAAACTAGTCGAACACGTGAGGATCCCATTCTCACATCGTAGTCTAACATCTTATCACAATAAGTAAGGCATACGTATATAAATTTTCAGTTTAAATATGACAAATCTAATAAATTATCAAAATTTTAAGGTCGAAATAATAAATGAAAACATTTTTTGTTTAAATCCTACCCGGACATGGGTTCATGGAACAATTCCTATACTCGATTCCGCTTCCAATACAATCAATTCCTCCATGAGCTGGTGCGGGGTCATCACACGCTCGCACTCTTACCTGTTGACTTTTGCCACAAGTCCTTTCACACATAGACCAATCACCCCAAGCTCCCCAAACGCCATCCACTACAATGAGTAAGAGTTATTCTATATACATTTTCTTATATTACGATATTTCCATAGCAACGGAGGTAATATTTCGCGCATGCTGGTATTACGTAGGGCAAAAAGTGATATCTGACCAACCAATGGAAAAAAATATCAACATCATGATCGAATCCTTAAAAACCGCTAACTAAACGTTTTGAAGAAAGAAAAAAACACAGCAAACATGCGAGCAGTAAAAAGGCTTTCTGTTTAAAGTATCATTAAAAGAAACAATTATATTTATATTACATTTTTCTGGAACAAAAATAGATACTGTACAAATAAATGTTTTGGATCTTAATAAAAAGATATTTAACAACGATGACGAGCTGCTTCCAAGTGCGGTCTCTTGATATGCTTTTAGTTTTCTTTTATATGAATGATGAGTAGAAATGGCAATAAGAATTAAGTATGAAAATGTGAATATTTTCTGGCTCATTATAAAATCATCACCTTTATATATTTGTCTTAAAAATTATACTATTAGCAATATATTATTCTTAAGTGAAATAACTGAGACATGTCTATGAACGTCTACATATCTTATATATATATGTCACGTGACGGAAAGTAGTAAGGCACGTAAATATTGCATAGGGTAAATATCAAAATTTATGACTTATAGCGTAAGAGAGTCGCTTTAATAAATTGTGAAAATGAATTCGAACATTGGTACTTCTGAAAGGACTTTATCTCAGATCTTAAATTCATCTCAAGAAATGGAAAATGAGGATTTATTTCAAAACCAAGGTAACTCTCAGGTGGGGTATATGAACAATATGGCGGATGAAATGGCGGATAGCGGTCAGTGGTCAACAGTACAAAACAAAGGAAAACGTAAACGAATAAATACTGGTAGTGTCAATTTTGAATCATATGAAACAATGACCCCAGACGAAAA